CTAAAAACATTTTCAACGAAAAAGTATATAGGCCGGGCGCAGTGGCTCACGCCTGTAATCCCAGCACTTTGGGAGGCCTAGGCGAGAGGACTGCCTGAGCCTGTGGGTTCGAGACCAGCCTGAACAACTTGGTGAGGTCTTGTCTCTACAATAATTCAAAAAATTAGCTGGGAATGGTAGTGCGTGCCCATAGTTCTGGCTACTTGGAAGGCTGAGGTGGAAGGATCACTTGAGCCCAGGAGATCGAGGCTGTGGCGGCCATGAGTGTGCCACTGTACTCCAGCCTGGGCGATAGAGTGAGACCTTGAGTGGAAAAAAAAAAGGTATTATATATATTAAAAGAGAGAACAGTCACTGTCAAGACTCAAATTGGTGGCTTGGAAGAACAAATGGAAAGAATACTTCAAAACACAGAGCAAATAATATGAAGAGATGGAAAATATGAGGCTTGGAGACTAGGTCCAGTAGGCTTAACATTCAAATATATCTGTTCCAAAGCAGGCAAAGGAATAGGCAGGGGAAAGGCAATGATGACAGAAGAGACTATTTGCTGACCTGAAGCAAGATCTGAGCTTGTAGACTGGAGGGGAACAGGAAGATACAACAAGGAAAGACACCTGCAGGCATGAAACTCCCAAATTCTAAGGTTAAAGGAAAACTTTTTTTTTTTTTTTTTGAGTCGCAGTCTCACTCTGTCGCCCAGACTGGAGTGCAGTGGGTGCTCCCGGCCACTGCAGCCTTGACCTGCGGGGCTCTGGCGATCCTTCCGCCTCAGCCTTCCAAGTAGCTGGAACTACAGGTGTGTGCTACCACGCCCGGCTTATTTTTTGATTTATTGTAGAGATGAGGTCTCGCCAAGTTGCCCAGGTGTGTCTTGAATCCGTGGACTCAGGCAATCCTCTCACCTCAGCCCCCCAAAGTGCTGGGATTATAGGCGTGAGCCACTGTGCCTGGCCAGCATGGGACTTTCTACCTGCAACACTAGAAGCTAAAAGTGGGAACACGGAGCAAAAAAGGATGGCTATCCAGGAACCTCACACCCGGCTGAAAAAACACCCACCTGTCAAGGGCAAAAAAAATCTGTCTGGAGAACCGAAGGACTCAGAGAGTCTATCTGTCTCATACCTCACCTCAGGGAGATATTCAAGAAAGATTTGGTTACAGAACGGAGAACTCAGGATAGAGGAAGGTGAAGAGGAAAAAGAACAAGTAGTGAGCAACAGACCTGAAAAATACCATACAGTTAAATGGTCATTGAGATTGGTTGACATCTAGTTACATCTAGAACCATAAGTTCCAACCTATCTCAGCAAAACCTAGGAGTACCAAGTAAAGTGTGAGAGGCAACCACAAGTATTCTAGAAGTCTCTCTGATTGGTAGAAGTGACAGAACATGAACACCTTAATGGAAGAAATAATGGGTCTAATTTTCCAATAATGATAAAGAAACGTGCTTTATTATTATTGCTTGGAAGAACAGGTAATGATCAAGAGAATGGAACAATTATCGTAGGACTTCCAAAATAACAGTGGAGGAGGAGAAATGGGACAGATAGTAACATAATCGAAATGGCGAACTCATGGAATGAATAAAGAACATGCAATGAGAGAAAAGAAGTGAGAGCAAATGTACCATTCCTTCTGCTTATAGAATCATAGTTTTTTTGTTGTTTTTTTTTTGAGTTGGAGTCTCACTCTGTTGCCCAGGCTGGAGTGCAGTGGCACACTCACGGCCACCCCAGCATCGACCTGCTGGACTCCTGCGGATCCTTCTGCCTCAACCTTCCGAGTAGCCGGAACTACAGGCTTGTGCTACCATGCCCAGCTGATTTTTTATTTATTGTAGAGATGAGGTCTTGCCAAGTTGCCCGGGATGGTGTTGAGCCTGTGGGCTCAGGTAGTGCACTTGCCTTGGCCTCCCAAAGTCCTGGGATTACAGGCTGAGCCACCAAGTTCAGTCAGAATCATAGTTTATTCAAAATAAAGCATAAAAAAGAGGGAACAAAGAATAGATAAGACAAATAGAACACAGTAGAAAGATAAAATTTAAACCATATCAAAAATTATATTAAATGTAAATGGTATAAACACACCAATTAAAAAGCAGGTATTCTCAGATGGGATAAAATGTAAGATCCAGGCCAGGCTGGTGGCTCCCAGCACTTTGGGAGGCCGAGGCAAGAGAATCACTCGAGCCCAGGAGTTCAAGACCAGTCTGGGAAACATAGCCAGACCTCATTTTTACAAAAGATACAAAAAAATTAGCCAGGTGTGGTGGTGCAGACCTCTAGTCCCAGCTACTTGGAAGGCTGAGGTGACTATGTGACCTCTCGAAATTGCCAGAGGTTGCCGGGAGTGGAAGGATTGGAGGGGCATGGATAGTGAGCTAGAGAGGGGGCAGAGGTGGAAGAGGAGTTGAGGTTAGGTTTTGGGGGGGGAGGTGGTATAGAGAAGGTAAGGCAGGATGTCACCCAAGATTGTCAGCCCCTCCTGCCACAAAGTCTTGCCTCTGCAGACGCAACTCTTCAGTAGTTCCTGTTACAATGTGGTTCTTCAAGAAATAACGAATTAACAAATGAGTAAAAAGGGAGATAAAGAGTTTATTGTCATCCTGTAAGGAGTACAAAGTCAAGAACCAAACCCTTCTTAGATCTTAGTGGGTCCAGTTTCTCTGAATCCCCGGCTATTCACCAAATCTGCAAGGTCCCTCAGGTCTCCCCAGATCTGATCAGTCAGGGAGTAGGAGGGTCTCTTGTGCCCAGTCCTTGGGGATGGGGCCTCAAGAGTCACCCCCATACTGGAGTCTGTGCCCAACTACCCACAGGCTCACAGACCTCAGGCCTTGCAGTTCTCTGGTGGGGTCTTGCATGCAGGCCCCTTTGACTCCGAGCTAAGTCTGGCAAGGCAGAGTGGAGCCGCGGTCCCAGGCATTGCAGGCAGAAAAGAACTTGGAGGTGTCATCTGGGCAGTGAGGGTGTCCTGACCCCTAGGTATGGCAGGACCAAGATCGAGGTGTCACCAGCCCCCAGAAGGTTGTCTGAGTCAGAGAAGAGAGAATTGTAGACGAGATCATTTCTGGTGACACACCCTGTGCATCCAAGACATGGGCGCCCTTCCTCCCCAGGCCAGGCCCTGGCACCTGCCCATGGCTGTTGAACTGGGGAACAAGAGGGGGCTGGCTATTGGGAAGGAGAGGTGTGTCCCCTGGATGGGGTGCTGGGCAAGGGTTGCGTCTCTTACCTGGGACAAGGGACAGTGCCGCCGTGCGTACCACTCCTGGCAGTACAGGCTAACCAGGATTCCCTGGCCCAGAAAGAGTATGGTCCACATCAGCACGTTCCACGCGGGGCCAGTGTGCCGGTCATGCATGGTGAAGTTCAGCAGCCCTGGTACAGGAGGAAAGGGCTTCACCCAAACTCCAGAAACCTGCGCCTGGTCTCCTTGGCTTTCCTCCCACCCTGGGGTACTGGGAGGAGATGGAACAGGAAGGTCTTGAACTCAGCTGCAGGACCTCCTGGAGATCTCGAGTGGTTGGTGTAAAATCAGGAATCTGCATGTCAATATCCTGAATCTAGACCAGATGTGGTGGCTCACACCTGTAATCCCAGCACTTTCGGAAGCTGAGGCGAGAGGATTGCCTGAGCCCAGGGGTTCAAGACCAGCCTGGGCAACTTGGCGAGACCTCATCTCTACAATAAATCAAAAAATTAAGCCGGGCTCGGTGGCTCAGCCTGTAATCCCGCGCCTTTGGGAGGCTGAGGTGAGTGGATTGCCTGAGCCCGCGGGTTCGAGACCCACTTGGGCAACTTGGCGAGACCTCATCTCTATAATAAATCAAAAATTAAGCCGGGCTCGGTGGCTCAGCCTGTAATCCTGCGCCTTTGGGAG